TCCTTCACTCTTAAATAGCTGGACAGATTTGGATGAGTTCATAAATAGACTATGACCTATATATGACATGTTATAAGTAACATATGTTACCGTTAAACATAAAATGCCAAAAGGCAGCGTTATATATATAATATTATTAATACACAAGGCAGAAGTAAAGCATGGCGAAGGCGAAAATAAGTATAAAAAATTAAAAGCTCGTACACACAAATATTTATATTCACCTAAACACAAAAGTTCACAACACGTTGTTCCGTAAAAGACGCTTATCGACCGCCGGGAGATTCGGCGGGGCGCGATAGGCGAGTGTTCGCGCGAGATAAGACCCCGTCCGCGTCGTTGCAGCCCGCTATCACGGCAGCGCAGCATCACATCACTATCACACTGAGGATTTGATTTATGCACTTTATGCTGTTTTAAACTGTTTTTCTTCTAATTCTAGCTTTATTTTGCATGTCTAGTATTATGAAACAAACTTTGAAGTGTTTTCACTCAAAATTTAATAAAAAGGTAGTTATTAGTTAATCTATACTAATATTATAAAGAGGAAAAATTTTGTTTGTTTGTTCGTACTGAATAAAGTTCAAAACTACTGGACCGATTTTAACCATTTTTTCACCAATAGAAAGCTTCATTCTGATAATTTAAGTAACATAGTTTTATAGAGATCCTTCAGAAAATCGCAGTAATGTAACCCTAAGTAGTAAAATTTTGCCTATAAAATTCATTATTTGGCGTACGCTAGGAAATCTATTGATGATACATAAAAATATATAGTTTATCTATTCCATACTAAGCGTTCAAACGTACCTAGGGACGAACCCGAGCGAAACAAGGGTGAGTAGCTAGTTTAAAATAATATGATATCTAAGATGCTATCGAATATAGTCTGCTAAGTTAAACACACAGCTTTGTATGAGAACGAATTTGTGAACTATGGAAGAATTGTTGATAGCAATACGCACACCTGGTCAGTCAATAAAAACCAGATATTAAATATATTTTTAGGTACATTTTTTTTTGAGCGGAACCCTAATTCTTTTACTGAAATAAAAGTAGCCTAAGTTACTCCTTATAACATCAACTACCTGCCAGAGAAAGTCCTGTCAAAATCGGCCTAGCCGTTTCGGAGATTAGCCTGAACAAACAGACAGACAGATAGACAAAAATTTTAAAAATTGTGTTTTTCTTATAAGTACCCTATATAATTTCATATGCAATTAGTAAAAAGCTGTTATTTTGACATTACAAACAGACACTTCTATTTTATTTATCTGTATAGATTAAGTACTTCCCTTATAGACGCCTACATTATAAAGTTCACGTAAAACGAAAAACCGGACTTAGATCACCGATGAAGCAAAGTCATGAAATGCTTATTATGACCGCGCCAGAAATCTACGCTTACATCTCAATTGTAAAACAATGTTATCTGTCCGAATGAAACTTACTCTCCACGTGGTTATTCTAAAAACAACTTTAACTAAACTAAGTGAAGTTTAAGTTTGATCGTAACAATTGCTGCATCGTACCTACATAGAGTGTTCAAAAAATCGCAATCTCCTGTTTTAAACTATTAAAATTCTGCTTTATTACTTAAGTGATAGAGTATAAAATTGTGTGGATTGGTTTGAAGAGGTTATTTATTAGGTTAAGGGTGGTATAACGCCTCCACGGGCCCGTAGGTCTGAATGCCTGGATACCATCGATACCGAGCTAACTAAATACGTGCAAACTCGCGCTGGCATTGTGTGGCCGAAGTTCGCACTAATATTGCTTATGATCGATGAGCTTTAAGGAGAAATAAAATGAACAAGAAAGATAAAATTCAAGATATCTTTTGTATTAAATTATAATATATGGATCTGAGTTTTACGTAAACGGTTTTATTTTTGTATTTAATAACGATACATATCGATTAAGTCGTGGATACGAGTAATAGGTAGAGTAATTGTTTGCTTTGCATCTTCATATATTCTTCCATAAAAAAGATTATTTTAATTTAGTTTTTCTCTTTTTGCCAGTATTTCATATTATCACTTTGAATAGTAAGACTGTGATTCTGATTCAACCGTACCCATACAAGAATGGCCTATAACAGGATTCGAACGTGTGACCTCTAGCAACGCTGCTATCACCAATATGTTAGCTGTAACGAAAAAAGGGATAATGTAATAATTATGCAAAAAAGAATGTAATAATTAAATTCTGATTTAAGATACAGTTAAAGACTATACTGTAATTATATATTTATACTAGCGACTCACCCTCGACTCATCCCCACTTTCACCCCCTTATATATATTATTTCCGGGATAAAAAGTATCCTATGTCCTCCCCAGGGTGTCAAACTGTCTTCTTACCAAATTTCATCTGAATCAGTTCAGTAGATGCAGAGATTACCACCTACAACCACACAAACTCACAACCTTTAACTCTTTATAATATTAGTATAGATAAGCATATTAGCGTTTCTTTCCAGTCTAAAATATAAGAGCAATCCGGACAAAACCGCCCACTAAATTAGTAGTACAGTAAAATTTACATATTTTTATCTTAGCAAAGTAAAACAAAAGGCTCACGCGCATTTCCTAGATCTTTAGCATCCCGCGGGTACATTGATGCTGCAAAACAATTGCTGGCCGAGATAAGAAAACTAGCAGTTACAGGAGACGCAGTTAGTTTGGATATAACGTTCGAGCTGTTTTTAAAATACAGAAAATATACTTAAATTGTGGAATAGATTAAAAAACAAATTAGATACATTTTATGATGAAAAATTTATTTGTTTTTGTAATGTTTTGTTTTTATGTTCCATATGGTAGAAATTTACTTTTATAACCTACTAACGACTCAGCGTCTCTAGGTACATTTTGATAGTTATTATAGAATAGACTATATATGTATAATATGTATAACTAGCGACTCACCCTCGCTTCGCTCGGGTTCGCCTCTACTTACGTTTTAACGTTTAGTATCGATTTCTCAGAAATGAGATTGATTTCCGCAGTGAAGAGTATCGTATACGTTGACCCGGATAACCAGCTATCATCATACCAAAATTTCATTAAAATCCCTCCAGTGGTTTTTCCGTGATGCGGTGACAGACAGACAGACAGATAAAAATACTAAAATCTATAGATTCGGCCTTTGTATCGATAATAATGTTTATTTCAATAAGATTTTCCAAAAAATATTTAATGTACAGATTCGGCGTAGTTACAATTTTATTATATGTATAGATGTATATACACATAGGTATAGAAAAATGGATAAGTACTATAAAATTGCTTGAATTTATCACCTGTTTTACCTTGTTTGGTCAAAAAAGCCGAAACATTAAATAACAGAAACATTAAATAACATAAACATAAAAAAAATTATAACCCCTTGCCTTCACTTAAATAACTTGTTCCCGATACAAACTTTGAACCCCTATTCCACCCCCTTCAAGATTAATTTTTGTGACCTACGTCCCTCTCCAAGGTCCTACCTATATCTATACCAAAATTCATCCAAATTAGTTCAGTGGTTTAGATGTGAAATCGTAACAGACAGAGTTACTTTCGTATTAATAATATATATTAGTATGGATTTATTGCGGTATAATACAGGCTATATAACAACACACTACGATCCTTGCGTTTATATATAAATAAACTACACAATTGGAGCTTTAAGCAAGAGTTAGTTGAAGATATATAATTAATAACAACTTCTGTTGTAACATATTATATGTACATTGTACATATTTCTTCGCTCTATTTAAAGCAGCGCCAAATACAAGAATGTTTTTTTAGCTTCTGTTAATGTCATAATGCCGTCCCCTATTTTTCAACATATTTTACATAACTTGATTTCATTAATTTGTTTTTTTCATTAATGTAATTAATATTATATATAACTAGAGACTCACCCTGTTAAATAAATAAATTTAAAGGTGTCCTTATAAACTTATTTATAATATGTAAGTATCTTCATAAACTTAAATAGTTGTTCGTTTCCTGGCCGTGCGTGGCGCTTGTGTTCTCTCTCTTATATCTGTCATCTGTAATGAAGTTGTTGTGTTCCGGAAGTACAATAAAATATATTAAAGTAAAGAAGAAGTCTTACTCAATTTTCTTAAAATACAGTTATAATCTAATAGGTTATGGGCCCAGGCTCGTCATAATTAATAAATCCAATAAAAATATTGAGTAAAGAGCAAGATACTTACCGGTGTAAAAAAAAACAACGTGCAAGATGGAGGTTACCAATTCTATGAAAATTGAGAAATTCGATGGCAGAAACTTCAAACAATGGAAATTCCAGATAAAATGCGCGTTAAGAGCAAAAGGGTTAGATATTAATTCGGTAAGACCGAAAGAAGCCAGTTCGCAAGTGCAATGGGATAAAGATGATGGTATGGCCATGTTCATTTTGACGTCGTCAATGGACTTGAATCAGATATCACTTATAGAAAACTGCGAGACTGCGAAAGAAATTATGAACAAATTAGAAGCCATTTACGAACAAAAGTCTGAATATAACAAAATGCTAATTCATGAGAAATTTTACCAGTACTCTTATTGTGCCAATGATACAATGGCACAGCATGTCTCTAAAGTGGAAAGCTTAGCAAAACAGCTGAAGGAAACTGGAGAAAAGATCAGTGACACAGCTATAATCACAAAGATTTTAAGTACATTACCATCAACATACCGTTCGCTTAGACAAGCATGGTTGTCACTCGATGAAGATAGTCAAACTATTCAGAATCTCACATCACGCCTAGTAGATGAAGAAGCGAGCCTTGCTAATGATACAACTGGTAGTGAGACTGCATTAGTAACGACAAAAGGAAAATCTAAAACAAGATTAAGAAATAACCAGAATATTTCATATGAACAAAGAAATTCGAGTCATAGATTTGTATGTTACAACTGCAATAAGAGAGGTCACTTTGCTAGAGACTGCAGAACGCCAAAGAAAAATAAGTATAATAATCAGAAGCCTCACAATATGTTAGCATTCAGTGCGGAAAGATATTCTATACCTGAACATAGTGAAGAAGCTTGGATATTAGATAGTGGAGCATCAATGCACATGACCTTCAGACGTGATTATTTCTATGAATTGCATGAATCTCAAGAATATGACATGAAAAAAGTAGTTAAATTAGGAAATAAAGAAAGTATTAAAGTATGTGGCGAAGGTACTATCTTGATAAATAAACAAGTGAAAGGAAAATGGGAGAAGTGTAAACTAGAGAATGTCCTTTATGTACCTGAGTTACGGAGAAACTTATTTTCAGAAGGAGCAGCCACTAGAAAAGGTTATATTATATTGAAAAATAAAGAAAAAGCAATAATAATGAAGAATAATATAATTGTTATGTGTGCACAATTAACAGAGAACAATTTATATGAGTTAGATATCAAAACATTAAAACAAGAGAATTGTAACTTTGTACAAACAAATATCAAAATTTGGCATGAGAGAATGGGACATCTAAATATTAAAGAACTTCAGAATATGAGTAAAAGTGGTATAATTCCTGTAAAACTGACTGGGAATGAGAACTTTATTTGTGAAGCATGCCAATATGGCAAGCATGCAAGACATCCTTTTATGAAATCTAATAGAGGCCAATTAGAACCTGGTGGAATTGTGTACAGTGATGTTTGTGGCCCTATTGAAGAACCTTCTGTCTCAGGTATGAAGTACTTTGTATTATTCAAAGATGGTGCAACAAGTTATCGTCATGTTTACTTCATGAAACATAAGAGTGAAGTGTATAACTGTTTTGTAAAGTACAATGCACTTGTGAAAAATAAATTTCAACATGATGTGCATATTCTACATACAGATAATGGTTGTGAATATGTGAACCAAGAATTTAAGTTATTTCTAGAAAGTAATGGAATAACACATGAGCGCACTGCCCCTTACACTCCACAACAGAACGGAAGGGCAGAAAGAGAACTGCGTTCTATCATGGAAAGTGCTAGAACAATGTTATATGCTAAAGACATTTCTTTTAACTTGTGGGCAGAAGCTGTCAACTGTGCAGTATATTTGTTGAATAGAAATACATCAAGTCAAACAGGAAATGTCACACCATTTGAACTCTGGCATGGAGTGAAACCTAACCTGCAACATATAAGAATATTTGGTTCCATTGGATATGTACACATACCAAAAGAAAAAAGGAAGAAACTGGACAAGAAAAGTATAAAAATGTTGTTAGTTGGATATGAACAGGATAATTACCGAATGTATAATCAATATAATAGAAAAATTACAGTGTCACGGGATGTTAATTTTGTAGAATGTAGTTCACCTGAAGAAAGACAAAATTTTACAGAAATAACATTTGAACAGAAAGAAAAAGAACAATCAATATTACCACAGAAAGAGGTTCAAGGTCAGTATAATGTACCTCAAGAAAGCTCTTCTGATGAAGATAGTATGATGAGTATTGAAAATTCAGATGATTCTTATCACCCTCCAAGAAGTAATTATTTAGAGCAAGAAGAACAGAGAAACATCACATTACGTCCTCGTCAAAAGAATAAAGTAGAAGTAAATTTGACCGAGCTAGAAATACCCAATACCTATGAGGAGGCGATGAGTAGTGCAAATTGTGAACAATGGAAGATAGCTATAGCTGAAGAGCTTCAGTCACATGAAAATAACAAAACTTGGATTATAACTGATAGAACTGAGAAGAAACCTGTTACTTGTAAATGGGTGTTCAGCATAAAGAAGAATAGAGATGGAGAGATTGATAGATACAAAGCGAGACTATGTGCTCGAGGTTTTACTCAAGTGAAAGGTTTGGACTATAATGATACTTTTTCCCCCACTAGCAGGTACGACTCCATAAGATTATTGCTTAGCATTGCTGCGAGAGATGACCTACAGATGGAGCAGTTTGATGTGAAAACGGCATTCTTGTATGGTGAGCTATCTGAGGACATATACATGGAGCTGCCCGAGGGAGTGGAAGCCGAGCCTTCAAAAGTATGTAAGTTAATTAAATCTATATATGGACTCAAACAATCTTCTAGATGTTGGAATATGAAATTTTGTTCATTTTTAACTACTTATGGATTTAAACCATGTCCATCTGATAATTGTGTATTTGTTGGATATTTTAATGATATCAAAGTAATATTAATTCTTTATGTTGATGATGGCTTACTAATGTCTAAAAGTAAAATAGTTTTATATACTGTATTAAATCATCTTAAACAAAATTTTGATATAAAGTTATTAAAGTGTAATTCATTTATTGGAATGGAAATAAATAAAATAAAAGATTATATAAGTATAAGTCAAAAACAGTATATTGAGACAATAATAGATAAATTTAATTTGTCAGATGCTAAAAGTAGCAATACTCCTGCCGATGTGAATGTACATTTATGTAAGAATAAAAGTAATGTGCCTATTAATTTCCCATATAGAGAGGCAGTGGGAGCATTGTTATTCTTAACATCTGTATCTAGACCTGATATAGCATATGCAGTAAATGTTGTAAGTAGATATGTCAATGATCCAGGTCCTTCACATGTGACTGCATTAAAAAGAATCTTGCGTTACTTAATTAATACAAAAGAAATGTCTATTGTTTATAAAGGAAATATAGAATTAGTTGGTTACTCTGATTCTGACTTTGCAGGTGACTTAGATAGTAGGAAATCTAATACAGGTTATATATTTTTAATGAATGGAGGTCCAGTCACTTGGTCGAGTCATAAACAGAACACTGTGGCATTGTCCACAACTGAGTCCGAGTACATGGCTGCTAGTGAAGCCACAAAAGAAATATTATGGCTTAAACAATTTTTATATGATATTGGAGAGCCACAAAACTCTGTCACTTTAAATATAGATAATCAGAGTGCAATCAAGTTAATTAAAAATCCTGTATTTCATAAAAGAAGTAAACACATAGATATTAAGTATAACTTCATAAGAGAGAATGTATCTAAGAAAATAGTTAATATTAAATATGTAGAAAGTGCATGCCAACTCGCTGATTTTCTCACTAAAGCTTTGCCTGTAAGTAAGTTTAATTGTATTAGAGATAAGATTTTGAAAAGTACTTAGATGCATAATATGTAAGTTATATAGTTAATAATTGTTGAAATGATTTATAAGTTTTGAAGATTAAAGTTAAGTTTCTGTATATACTTGCATAGATTAAAAATATCATTCTAAAGTTGTTATGTATAACAAATAGAAATAATATATATATATTAAGTGATATAGTATATAATAAATAGAAGTGATATATAGTCTATATAATAATAAAGTTGATCTGTATAATGAATAGAAGTGACACCTTTTAAATTTAAGTGGGAGTGTTAAATAAATAAATTTAAAGGTGTCCTTATAAACTTATTTATAATATGTAAGTATCTTCATAAACTTAAATAGTTGTTCGTTTCCTGGCCGTGCGTGGCGCTTGTGTTCTCTCTCTTATATCTGTCATCTGTAATGAAGTTGTTGTGTTCCGGAAGTACAATAAAATATATTAAAGTAAAGAAGAAGTCTTACTCAATTTTCTTAAAATACAGTTATAATCTAATACACCCTCGCTTCGCTCGGGGTCGTTAGCTTGATTCCCCATACAAACTTTCATCTCCATTTTCACCCCCTTAAGGGATGACTTCTGGGATAAAAAGTATCCTATGTCCTTTCCAGGGTCTCCAACTATCTTCTTATCAAATTTCATCTAAATCGGCTCAGTAGATCCAGAGATTACCCCCTACGACGTCACAAACTCACAAACTTTACCTCTTTATAATATTAGTATAAATAAAAAACATTTAATCGCCAATCTATTCTATGTCTTGATCGTTGTTGCACTAATTTTGCGATACCCTAACAGCAAAACGTAAGTTATATTTTTAAATTACATATTTATTTATCAAATAAATTGACTCCATTTAAAGCAGTCTTTGTTATCACAATTGCTTCATACACCCATTTAGTACCACGAAAATCGCTGATAATAATTCTTTGTATTAGTTTGTTCGGCTGCCACAGCTTTAGGCGACGCGACTATAAGGATCACCGGCTCACTAGAAGCGACTATACTATTACTTTAGTACATACTATATGTATGTATGTATGTATGTATGTATACTAAACAATATATACTTATTGTTAACAAAAAGAATACATTGACATCAGTTAAATTTACTTAAAATTAAAATTTTAAATTATACAGATATAGAGAAATTAAGTACATCCGCTTATAAGGAGCCGGTGAATTGTGGAAAATTATTAAATATATATTTTTAAGAAAAATTTTTTTATGAAGGTTTATCTCAATATTAAAACAGAAGCGATATTTGCAACCCATAAATATATATTATAATTAAAATAAAAAAAATAAAAACACTACATAATTAGCATTCAAAAAATAAGATAATAAGTAAATAATTTTAAATAAAAATGAAAAAAAAAAACAATATAAACAATTAAAATAAAAAAAAGTGTTGCTAATATAATTATAGCCAGATCAGCTTTCAAAATTTCAATTGGATACTACTAAGCATTTAAAACAAACTCCTTATGAAAATAAAACCACGCATTTGCCACATCCAGAGCACCCACATCTCAGTTTACGTGCCGTATCTCGCGCTCCGCTCACGCGGTGCTAACGATTTATTTAGCCACTGTGTAACGACGTTTGCTCGACCAACGCCACACGTCAACGGTAGTTGCGTTTTTATCACACCGATAACGTCCGATGTTATCATAACATAAAATCGCTTATATGTTGTATTACTAGCCAAACACCCTAACTTCGCTCGGGTTTGTTCATTTGGTGCTTTTTGCATTTATAATATTATATATAGGTTGCAAGGCAGTGGTAGCCCAATGGTAAGGCGCTTGCTTGAGAACTAAGTGTAGCGAGTTCAAGTCCCGGGTCTCTCACCTCTGATATTTTCATGTCTGAGAGAACCAAACAAGTTTTCGTCAGACCTGTGAAGTCCGCCAACCCGTGTATAGCCAGCGTAATAGACTGATCCTGGCGGGCTGATCCCAATCGTATTAAAGGGAGCGTGCCCAGCAGTGGGACGTTTAAATACAACTATATATATTTCTGAATTTTACAACGTGAGGAACTAAGAAATAACAAAAAGTCCTCACGAAGAAAAAAAATAAATTGTTTTTATCCATACTTTTGTATTATTGAGCTTGTTTAAAATAATTTCATTTTACCTACAAACTATTATATCTATTTTATTTTATATTTGTTTCCCTGTATGCTGATAAATAAACAAATAAATGTTAGTTGCAATTATAAACCTTAACAATTTTATGGTTTACTGAAATCGCTATTGAATTTAATATTAGATTTATATTATATTATGAGCACTATACGTCGTAAATAGTTAATAACTTCTTCATAAACGCTGTTTAACTTCAAGATTATTAGGATATATAATATTTTCTTAATCTTTTTAGTCTTAACGTATATTTTAGTAATGTTTATTTATTTATTTATTCGTTCATTCATTCATTCATTCATTACTTTCATCTTCAGATAAAATTACAAATAATTCCAATACGTCATAATATTAAAACAGCTCAGAAGGGTTTTCCAGGAAGATGAATATTTGGCAATTAACAATTATATTTCTTGATTTTTCTGTATACTCATTTTACATTTATATTTTATATTCCCAAATCATATAATCCGAATCACCGACTGTCCACTTGACATATCAAAAATCTATTGTACAAAATCTACAAACTGGCATATTAAATAACTGAATGTTACAATATGTTCAATATAAAGACAAAAAAATATATGATTACAAATTACAAGCACTTTTATCGAAGTTGGAAATCCAGTTTTTCTTATACTCTTTATTTTTGTTATTAAATCTGTCCAGCTTTTGTATTTGAGTGATATCGTTAATCAGCTTGATAGCTTTATTAGTTGGAGAATTAGCAGAATGACGAGTTTGTATACTCACTCGGCCGCTTAGCAAAAACGTAGTGAAATTGCGTCAAATTAGTATTTGTACATAATGTTCTTATGTCATATATATAGTATATATATATAGTAATATTATAATTAAATTTGTGGGTAAAGGTTTGGGGGTAACCAAGACATCAGTTATAAAAATTTGTGGGTAAAGTCTATATCAAACAACAGATTTTTTTTCGCCTGTAATAACGTAGATTGAACTTTTTATATAAACTAAGAAGACGAAAGAAATTCTCTAAATGATATCTAACTAAAACCCGTCGAATGGTTAATATTAACTATATACATAAACAAAGAGACAGACAGTTTGTTTTATACTATTTACATTAATATAACAAAGCCCTAACACCTTCTAGCTATCTCCTTAACCCCCCAAGAAATAATCCCCTAACAGTGTATAAAGCATTTAACAGGACCAACTATCCGATGCTATCGCGCCTAATTGAATACGGCATCGAAGGTAGACTCGCCCGCTAATGGACTAGCGGTTTATCTGGAAAATTTATAATTTTACATAGAAAATTTATAATTTTGAACAATAATGTTGACATGTTTGGATTTAAATAGATATGGTTTTCGTATTGTTATCCACGGTAATTATTTTATAGATTAACAAACAATTTAGATTATATAGTTTACTTATATATGTATGTAATAATGATAATTTTATTTAATTTCTAAATGAATTATGAGTCATACGTTCGATTCTTGCAAAGCGGTTAGTTTTTTATAAATATTAACTAGTAATGAATTCAAAATGAATTTGAATGAGAAGTGAAAATCACAATTGCTCTACTTACTAAACTAAGTGCCTGGAAAATCTAATCTAAAGAAGTATTACTAAAATTTAATATGAAGAAAATTTAAAAATGTACACTAAATAACTCAGTGCAGCAACCTAACCAAACTTATCTAACTTACTCGGTTCCCAATAAATGAACAACAGATTTACGATCGGCCACCGATCTTAACTATCACAAAAGCGAGGAAGCGGCCGCGTCTAACGGCGTCGTTACGGCCGCTAACGCCGGCTAACGGCGGCTAACGGTTGTTAACGCTATCAGCGATATAGGGCGGGCGGAAGGCCACCTGCCGCCCGACTTAATGCATCCGCACTTATTTATTCCTGAGTTAGGAGATAGGCTTCCTGATGCTTATCGTATGGGACATGTTCAAAAAACAGGTTCACTTCCGTCGTTTCATTGAACGTTTTTCAGCTAATGGTTATGAAACATTATTTTTAATAATATTATGTATGTTATACTCCATTTTCTTTTCCGGTCTTTTTTATATGTTCATAAAGAAATCTTATATTTTAACCCAAAATAATATACGTTTTAAAAAAAAATCTTTTATATATGTATGTAAATAAGTTACATTAAGCAAATATCTAAAACATCAATTTTGTTTCAGAAAACTTTAGGCATTGTAATAGAACTAATTTGAAATAAGATCTAGACATGATAAGGAATAGTAATTGCTACATGCGTATCCATTTTTAATACGAAACACTATATAAGAAACGTCTGCACACATACTTTATGTCCTAACGCAATAACTATAAATATTTTTATGACGACACGTTTGGCTCAGTTTATAGTGACCCTGCTTGCTATGCCAGCGGTCGCGGGTTCGAGTGTCGCTGGGGGCATTAATTTGTGTGATGAGCACGAATATTTGTACTCCAGTCATGTGTGTTTATATTTATAATATCTATGTATTTAAAGTTATATATGTGTAGTTTATCAACTATCTGGTATCCATAACACAAGCCTCGTATCTTACCATGGAAATAGATAGTGCCGTGAGTAATGTCCCAAAATATGTATTTATTATTTATTTTCATAGAAAGATTTTTGAATATAAAAAATTACCCATTAATCTTACATATTAGGTACACTGTAACCAATTTATGACTCCAATGTGTATAAAGTACTGAAATAAATATTAACTTTAAATTCTAAACGATGGAATAATTTAAAACAACAAACTCTTTAAAATAATCCAATCAGTAAAGATTTCCTCCTTGTTATACGTATGTAATATTTCTTTACTAGCATTGCCCGCGGCTCCGCCCGCGTTCAGATGACCAAAAACTAAATTCTTAGGTGTTACATATTAGTATACTCTTACATTGCAGTTTTTGTATTTTTCCTCAGAAATAAGATATTTTCCCGCGGTAAAAAGTATCCTAGGATCGCGCGCTACATCGCCCGGTTTATATAGCTTGAGCAGGCGGTCGAGCGATGCGGGGCAGAGGGGATGGACTCGCCGTAGGCATCTCAATGCTCGCCAAGCATTAAAAATGTTTCGCTACTAATTACTTCTAACAACGATATCTCAAAAACTATTCATCTGATTGATTTAGTGTAAAGAGCAATTTTAATCTGCATTAAATGACTAAGCTAACTAAAATATTCATTTGGATAAGGATTAATACCGAACTAAAGAAAATAACTTTGAAAATAACGTAATGTTTTTAATTAAAAATGTTAACATAAAAGTGGTTATTGTAAGTCAACCGTAAGAGATAGAGATATGCTATCGCGGACTTTTTTGTAGCATTTTTATAGATTTTGAATTCTCTAGTACATTACTTAACTGTATCTTTGCTAGTTTACGCGGCGTTCGCGTGGAAAGTTCCCATTTGGCGAGATTTTTTGCGACCTCTTCAACATTTGTCGCCGTATTTCAGCTAATTTACATAAAAGCATAATAAATTATATACCTAAACCTTCCTCAAGAATTACTCTTTCTATTGTTGAAAACCGTATAAAAATCCGTTCAGTAGTTTTCGAGTTTATCGCGTACAGACAGACAGGAGGACAGAAAGACGCGGCCGGGGGACTTATTTTTATAATAAGTATAGATAGATTAATTAAGTAATTAAAAATATACAAGATGCTGTTAGAGACCTAAGTAAAGCAGGAAAAACTTACTAGTATACTCGTATAAGGTTCTAAAATTTGTTTATTTAGAATAAGCAGAAAAATAGGTTGGAAATTTTAAGACAGTCGCATGTGTATGCAGGCCCTTAGGGACCGACAGCGTAAAACAAATTGTTCTAACAAATCATCGTAATGGATACTTGTGGTGAATTTGTTGAAGTTTACGATGTGAGCGATTATATCATATATTTTTTTTAGTTATAGCCTACATATTTTACTTTCTGTCTGTAATCTTAATTAAATCAATTCATTTGTCAAAAAAAAATCACATGAATTTGCTGTTTTTGACAATAATTCGTGGAACTAGATTAAGTCTTAGTTTTAATAATTAACATACCTACAGGGTGTTTAATTAAGTAATTTCATTATAATACTTAGATTGACGCAAATATTTAACATCGACATCCACAGGAGGTTTTAATAAAGAGAAAAAATGAAAAATTAACGAAAAAAAAAATTATATGGCTAATGCTGGCTAATAACTATTTATGTCTATTTAAAACGTACCTATTTTTTTTATTTTTATCCATTTTATTTATATCTATTTAAATAAAACTATCTTTTCGGATTATTTCGCGGATTTATTTTGATTTTTGGTTCCCGACGTTAGAAGTATATAATTCCTTTGAGATGTCTAAAGCCTTAGTCTCTCCCGTGACCATGATTGCTGTAAAGCATTCGAAACGCCGGGAACCAAAAATCAAAATAA